ACCTCCGGGGCAGGCAGGATTCGAACTCATGCGGAAGTGGCTTTAGCTTCTCAGTGCTGTGCTTTAACCCGCTGCGCCACCAGGGAGGGCCGATTGTTTTTGTTTTTAAGGCAGCTTTAGGGCATCCTTACTCTGTACTGCTGCTGAAAGTCAACATGGTTATCTGTTAATACTGTATCTGAAATAGGGGTGTTAACCTGGGGTCCGAGGACGCCTAGGGAGCCATGCCTGGTTTCTGGGACTTTGTGAAAGTCTGAAGCTTGTGCCTGATCACAGGTTTGCACCTGCCCCCACATCTGGTGAGAGGCCCCAGGTGGGTGCCTGTCTGCCACCCCTGTCCTCAAGCTAGCTAGAGCCCTTTGCACACAGCCTCTGTGTGGGTCCTTGGGGGCCCACTTACACAATCCTCACAGCTCACTGTGGTAGACACCTCTCCAAGGTTGTCCTCATTGCGGAGAGCTGCAGCTCCCAGAATGTTAATGCCTATGATTAGAAGCCACTGACTTCAGGCCAGAAAGGTTCAATCTGGCTTTTAAGAGGACTTCACCTACTCACAGCAGAGTGGATATAGTTCAGGCAGAATCTAGCTCAAAAATCTTACATGATGATTTGAGTCGACTGCTTAGAATTATATCTCCATGTGGTGTAAGTTTCATTTCACTGTTTGCTTTTAAAAGCTACTTTTCCTGCGATGGCTTTCCTCGACATAATTTTCCTTAGTGCTGAAAGAAAAATGGTATTCTCGCCAATGGCTAATCTGTGTGTGGGCTGGTTTCTGCCTTCCTTATAATGCCCTTAAATGTCCCCCAAACTATATACCTTTATCTTTTTCATTTTTGAAATATGAGCTTGTCCAAACAGATGTTTGAATATTCATCCCATGTTAGGATGCATGAGGTAGGTTTAATTTTAGTTTTAACCACTGTGTCATGTTCAATTTGCATGTGTTAAGGAGCAGCTGGGATGCCTTTCACGTTTGTTGGATTTGGGCTAAATTAAAGTCTCCCAAAAGTCAATTGGATGCTTGGAACTGAACCAATGTACTGTCCTCAAAATATAAGCTCTAGAATAACCATTCTTATTAAATGTCAAGTTCAGAAGTCAAGTTACCTCTTTGAACTCCCCCTGCATATATCTAATAGAGGACTATTAAAGCATTTGACCTTCCTATATAAATATCATATATTTTTTTGCCTCTCCCTCTGTGTAGACCTATGGAAATGCTTCCCAATAGAATTCGGTCTTGTGATAAATCTGAACTCAGTGCAGTTGGAAGTTAATTAAGAACAGGGTTTTAGAGTCACATGGACCTTGGTTGAAATCCCAGACTCTCCAGTTCTTAATCCCATGGCCTTTATCATTTAAAAGATATTATTTCATCTGGTTACTCTAGGAATTAAACAAAATATCCTCCCCTGAGTCTTTGTACAAATGTCACCTCAAGTGAGGCCTCCCATTCCCAGTGGTGTCCCACCTCCCCTACGGTCCACCTTCCCGGAGTACACCTCTCGTAGGGTACACCTCCCCTAGGGTACATAGTCCCTGGGCTACAACTTCCCTAGGGTGCACCTTCCCTGGGGTTCCACCTTCCCTAGGGATACAGCTTTTGGTCCCATCCAGCACTCCCATTTACCTATCCTTATCAGAATAGTCAGTTATTTTTACTTACCAGACACTATATCAGTTGTCTCTACTTATCAGAATAGTGAGCTGTTATATCCAGTGTTGTTATCTGTACCACTCATGGCAGTAAGCTCTATAACTATTTCCTGAGTTTGTGACTTGCTGAGTATCGTGTCCGGCCATGTAGCATGTACTCAGTGGAGGCGTTATTAATAAGAGTCCTAACAAACAAAAGCGAATGAAAGGGAGATTTTTAAGCAGTAAAGATCAAATGAGCTCTGAGATGAACCCCCAAAGAATTGCACTGTGTGTGAGTTATTCCAGAAAAGGGAACAGTGAATGTTCCTCTCATTTTTTGTCCTCTGGGGAAGGAATCAAGGGTTTAGAGCCCCGCAAAAATTCAAACAAAGACCTCACACTTTTGGCTATGTTTTATTCACCATTTTATGGTTACATAAAAAATTTGTGCCAAAAAACTATTTCCATGAAAGCAAGAAGCTGAGAAAAGCCTGCTATAAGTGAAAGATTAGTTAGGCTATACAGCAGTCCAAGACTCTCTTAGAAATAGGGAAGATGGTGGTTCATCCTGTTTTTGAAACCAGTTTTCTCAACTCAAAAGCAAACAAACAAAAAAAACCAAAAAAGCCTGTTCATCTCATTTAATGTTACCTGAAATTTCAAATAAATTATCAAGACTAAAAGCAAATTAAACCATAGGAGTTTTGAAGGTGCATTTTCAGACTACGTGTTTCTTGTCTTTCTCCCCATTTGGGAGGCTGTTGTTACTGTCATGGCCAAAGAGGCCAG